GAACAAAGCCATCTCACTCTCACACTCTCTCTCTCGCACGACCTGTTGCTTCCCGAGCCACTGTTGCAGGGTTTCCCGAGCCACTGTTGCCAGGGATGCGAAAAAAAGGGAGGAAGGGAAAAGAAAGAAGAAAGAAAGAAACGGTGGAATAAGATAAACAGATAAAAAAGAAGGTGTGAAGTGAAGCCAAAAGGAAGAGGTAGGAGATGAAAGATACGGAGGTGGAGTGGGAAAAGAAGGAGGAGGAGGAAGAGAGAGAGGGGAGAGGAGAGAGAGGAGAAGGAGGAGGAGAGAAAGGAGGAAGAAGGAGGAAGGAGGAGGAGGAGGAATCGGTCCGCTGCGCTTTTGGTTTGGCGAAAGCAGGTACCAAGGAGAGAGAAGGAATAGGAAGGAGAAAGAAAGGAAAAAAAAGGGGAAAAAATGGAAAAATGGAGAATATGATATAAATGAGAAGGAAGAGGAGTAGGAGGGAAAAGTATAACGAAGAAAGAAAAACTTTTACTTCTCTTTCTTCTTTCTTTCTTCTTTCGTTCTTTACTCTCTCTCTCTCTCTTCTCTCTCTCTCATCTTCTCTCGTCTCGCTCTCTCTTCTCGCTCTTCTCTCTCTCGCTCTCTCTTTCTTTCCTTCTCTCTCTCGCTCTTCTCCGCTCTCTCTCTCGCTCCTCTCCCTCTCTCTCTCGCTCTCTCTCGCTCTCTCCTCTCTCTCTCACACACACACACACACACACACACACACACACACACACACACACACACACACACACACACACACACACCACACACACACACACACACACACACACACACACACACGCATGTAGACTTTCTCGGGGATAACCTCTGAAAGTCAGGAACACCGGGAAAATTTGGGAAATTCCACGGGACAGAGAGGACAGGCAAGGAGGAGGAGGAGAGAAGGATGATAAAAAGGGGAGATAGGAGAAGAGAGGAGGAGATGAAGAGAAGAAGAAGGTGGAGAAGGAGAAGAAGGAGACGAAGAGAAGAAGAAGAAAAGGAAGAAGAGACGAAGAGGAAGAAGAAGAAGAAAGGAAGAAGGAGGAGAAGACGAGAAGAAGAAAGAAAAAGAAGAATAAGAACAAGAAGAACAAGAACAAGGAGGAGGAGGAGGAGGCGCCTGGCCCCTGCCCTCTCGAGTGCCTTGGGTAATGAGGGCAAACACCATTAGGTCGGCCGCGTGCAGGGCGTGACCCAGTGTGGCGGGAGGGGGAAGGGAGGGAGAGGAGGGAGGAAAGGGAAAGAGGGGAGAGGGAGGAGGGGAATGGGGAGGAAAGGAAAGGGAGGAGAGAGGAGGGGAGAGGAGAGAGGGAAGGGAGGGAGAGAAGGGAAAGGGAGGGAGGAGAGAGGAAGGGAAAGGAAAGGAGGGGTGAGAGGGAGAGGGGAAGGGGAGGAGAGGGAGGGGGGAGGAAAAGGGAGAGAAGTGGAGGCGTAGGGGCAGAGAAGGGGAAGGGAGGAGAGAGGAAGGAAGGCAGGGGGGAGAGAGAGGAAGGAGGGAGGGTAGAGGGGAGAAGAAGGGGAAGGGGAGGGAGGTGGAGGAAAATGGAGAGGAAGAGCGAGGAGAGAGGCAAAGGGAGAGCAAGGAAAGAGAGTTTGGGGCGCGGAACGGGTGTGGGGGGGGTCAGGAAGAGGTGTGGAGAGAGGAGAAAGCAGGGATGGGGAACGCACCTGCATGGAGACGCGGTGGGTTCCTCCCGTATGAAAATGGGATTCCCCGGGGGGGGGCACGAGGCACCTGGATACCGAAGANAACGAGAGAGAGAGACGAAGAGACGAGGAGCAGGGAGAGAGAGAGAGAGGAGAGAGAGAGAGAGGAGAAGAGAGAGAGAGAGAGAGGAGAGAGAGAAGGAGAGGGAGAGAGAGAGAGAGAGAGAGAGAGAGAGAGAGAGAGAGAGAGAGAGAGAGGAGAGAGAGAAGAGAGAGAGAGAGAGAGAGAGAGAGAGAGAGAGAGAGAGAGGAGAGAGAGAGAGAGAGAGAGAGAGAGAGAGAGAGAGACTGCGCGGCGCCGAGCGGACTTCCCCGCGGTCGACGTCGAAGTCCTTGGCCTCCGCGTCGCCTCCTCGCCCCCCTTCCCCCCCCCTCCCTCCCCGTCCGCCCCGAGTCACAGTCGTCGCGCTGTCATTCACCCGCGCCGCCCGCCATGCACGCGGCCCAGGGCAGCTGAGGGCGCCCCCCGCCCGCGCTCGCGGTTCGTCCCCGGGGAACCTTCCTTCCGCCGCGCGCGGGACGAGGAGCCGCACCGCGATCCGCGAGAGAGACTCGAAGGGCGAGAGCGAGTCCTTCCCCCCCTCTCTCTCTCCCCTTCCCCCTCTCCCCTTTCCTCTCTCTCCTCTCCCACCCCCTTCTCCTCTCTCCCTTCCCCCTTCTCCTCTTCCCCTTCCCCCTTCCCCTTCTCCCTTCTCCTCTCCCCTTCCCCCTCTCCCCTTCCCCTTCCCCCTCTCCCTCTCCCCTTTCCCCCTTCTCCCCTCTCCCCTCTCCCCTTCCCGCCTCTCCCCTTCCCCCTCCCCGCCTTCTAAGACGCCCCGACGCGCGTCCTGTCACGTCCCCGCCGACCTCCGGGCCCGAGGACGCTCTTAAAGGGGACGGCCGAGACCGCCCGCCGCCCTCGCCGGGTGCATGGGCGGCGGGCGGGCGGGGGGGGGGCGGAGGGGGGGGAGAGCGGGGAGGGGGCTGAGGTGTGAGGAGGTGGGTGGAGTGGGTGATAGGGGATGGTGGAGGAGGAACAAGAGAGATGGCAAGGAAAGAAGGAGGAGGAGGAGGAGGAGTAGAGGGAGAGAGAGGGAGGAGGAGGAGAGGGGGAGAGGGAGGAGGACGAGGAGAGGAGAGAAGAGGGCGAGAGGGGGGAGGACGAGGAGAGGAGAAGTGTGGGAGAGGGGGAGGAGGAGGATTGAAGGAAGAAGATAAAGAGAAGAGGAGGGGGAGAAAGGGGGGGCGCAGCTTTTCACTTCATTCCCTTGAAAAGATCTGAGACATTCTCAGAAATGCGTCTTCTGGCCAGGAAAAAAAAAATAATAAACAGAAAACTCTTTTCCCGAAAACAGAGAGAGAGAGAGAGAGAGAGAGAGACAGAGAAGAGAGAGAGAGAGAGAGAGGAGAGGAGAGAAGAGAGAGAGAGGAGAGAGAGGGAGAGAGGAGAGCAGAGAGAGAAGAGAGAGATGAGAGAGAGAGAGAGAGAAGAGAGAGAGAGAGAGAGAGAGAGAGCGAGAGAGAGAGAGAGAGAGAGAGAGAGAGAGAGGAGAGAGAGAGAGGAGAGAGAGAGAGAGAGAGAGAGAGAGAGAGAGAGAGAGAGAGAGAGAGATGAGGAGAGAGAGAGACGAGAGAGAGTTTCTTTACCGGGATCTGCAACGAACATTGCGAAGAGAGGATGTGAGAGAGAGGGCGAGGAGACGGCTTTGAGAGGGCGAGGGAGAGGGAAGAGACGAGGGGGAGAGGGAGAGGGATATGAAAGGAAACGAAGAGGGAGAGAGAGGGAGAGGCAGAGGGCGAGAAGAAGCCAGGGCGAGGGAGAAAGGGCGTCACGAACCCAGCAATATCCAAGCCTTCTTCCCTTCCGCATTCGCCGGCAGACGCCTAAGCCACGGGCGTCGCACATGTCTCCTCACTGCCTCATTCCCCTACAACCGTTCCCCGCAGAGGCGCAAGTGTGACCGCATATCGGGAGGCGCGCGACACACTTTCGCACGGCACACCTGTTGTTTCCGAGGGCACAGGTGCGCCGTGCCAGATGGCGAGGAGCCGCCGCCGCCATGGACGCGGAAATGATTTCGCAATGAAGTCACACGCGGATCCCGCTGCGCGACCGGGCGGGCGGCCGCGCGAACAGAATTACAGATCGCGAAGAGAATCCCTCATCAGCGGGTGAATTACGCCGACGCGAGGCACGCCACGCTCCCGCCGGCTCCTCCAAGCCCGCGCCCTTTAAACACGAACTGCCCAAGACGGGAACGAGCGCTGACAGGAGAGAGAGAGAGAAAAAAAAAATCCGCGCATTGTTTCCAAGGACAAAAAAAGATCCAGCGACTCTTAACCTTTCCTTGCGCGTGACGTCACTCGGGCTCAATAACACAGGTACGCTTCTTTCCTCTTTTCTTTCCCCTTCGGCCGCGGGAGGGACGGAGGCTCGCGAGAAACGGGACTCGGTTTCACTCGAAGACTTTCACGAGTTTGCGACGACTCAGACCTAAAAAAGTAGTTTAATTAAACTGAGAAACTTCGGAAAAAAGACAATTTTATCTTTCTTCGACGAAAGCGCACTAACAACAGGATAAAAAAAAAATAAAATACCATAAACAGATGGCGTATGTTTTGAGGTTCAGCAAAAAGCCAATAAGTACAACGGCGGGAAAATAATGGAATCGCTGAGAACACTTGGGTACACATTTGGCGGAGAAAGTGTTTATGGAGCTCTGTCGTCATCACAAGTGATAGGCCTATCCCCACTACCGCCTCCGGGGAATTCTACTTCCTCTTGTTTTCTTCAATTCTCATTCGTATGGCAAACGTCCAGGTTATTTTTCAATGAAAAGAGAGGAGAAAGAAGAGAAACAATATATTTAAAAGTTGAAACGTATTCTACCGACCTCCTAAATACGAGAGAAAATCCGGAGAAAAAAAAAACAAATGACTCAGCCCATGTGACGTCAGAGTTGGACCGCGTCCCGGATGATGACGTCGCCGTCACAGCACCCACACACAGGTCCCCGGATGATGACGTCATAGCTGCCATGAAATGCCGTCACCCAGAGGCCCGCATGACAATGGAGAATGGGGGGGGGGGAGGAGGGGGAAGAGAATGCAACAAGAACCTAATAATCTCCCGTCATGCTCGGAGGGAAAAGCAGGCCCGGGATTAATCAGAACGGCGGGATTGCATGACCGGCGTTCGCTCAAGTGCACGAAGGGGAAAGGAGGATCGGGAACGGAGGAAAAACGCATTCGAGATCATGTTCGCTCACGCATGCGCACAACCACGCGCGCAGTGGCCCCGGGGAGACCGGGAGAGACGCAGGGAAAATACACCTCGACTGCAATCTCCAGAACAGCTTCGGGAAGTTTCTCAAGTATATAACTAGTAATAAGAGTCCATTAAAAACATGGCAACACGGCAGGAGGAAACGTAATGACGAGAATAACAAATACATCAGAAGAGCAGGTACAAAAATAAAAAATGCTAACCATAATGGCAGCCATAACGGAGTGACATACGAGCATCAGGAGCAGCACTTACCATCGTGCATGACGGGAGAGCGCGGGGAGCATGACAGCTTCATGAGGACCATGGCGGCTGCGCATTCGTCCATCTGCTCCTCCTCCGAGCGCGAGCTGCGCCTCTTCCTCGACCTGAAAGGAGTCAAGGATCACCTGTTAACGAAGACAGATAATTCAATAAAAAAACATAAAATTATTTTAAAAAAACGAGGTAAACAGACGCATGAATAATTTCCAAATCATTCAAGAGCGACGGAGGACTTTCAGAAGCGAAAAGGGCGAGCCACGAGACCCTCCCGGAGCGACAGTAAGGTCACCCGCGCCCATCCCCGCCGCCCATACGGTCCGTCCTTCGCGCCCACACACACCGCGACGCACTCACGCCCCGCGCCCCACATGCCCCGCTCCGCATGGACCCTCAACCCGCACATTCCCCCGAGCGCAAGAGCCTTCGCGTGTGTGCATAAGTGTGATTTATGCGCGCGGTTCACGGAGCATGCGGGGGAGCGAAGAATGCCGCGCTTTGGACACACAAACAACCCACACCCACGTGCGCCCGCCGCCGCCTCCGCCTTCTCCTTCTTCTCCTCCTCCTTATCCTTCCTCTTCTCCTTCTTCTTCTCCTTTTCTTCTTTTTCCTCTCTCCTCCATCTTCTCCTCCTCTTTCTCTCCTCCTCCTCCTCCTTCTTCTTTTTCTTCTTCTTTTTCTTCTTCTTCTTCCATCTCCTCCTCCTCCTCTCCTCCTCCTTCTTCTTATTCTTCTTCTTCTTCTTCTTCTTCTTCTTCTTCTTCTTCTTCTTCTTCTTCTTCTTCTTCTTCTCTTCTTCTTTCTCTCTTCTTCTTCTTCTCTTCTTCTTCTTCTCTTCTTCTCTTCTCCTCTTCTCCTTCTCCTTCTCCCTTCTCCTTCTCCTTCTCCTCCTCCTCCTCTCCTCCTCCTCCTCCTCCTCTCCTCCTCCTCCTCCTCCTCCTCCTCCTCCTCCTCTCCTCCGGCCTGGGCTGCTGACCAACACGTGACCGAAGCCACGCCCGCGGGAAGTGCACAGAGATGCATCAGATCTTATCCATAGATAGATAGATGCATACATACATACATACATACATACATACATACATACATACATACATACATACATACATACATACATACATACATACATACATTACATACATACATACTACATACATACATACATACATACATACATAGATCCATAGACTGATAGATAGATATATACATAGATCTATATATAGATAGATAGATGCATAGACTGATAGATAGATAGACAGATGGTTAGATAGATAGTAGACAGATATAGTAGATAGATGGTTAATAGGTAGTAGATAGATAGATAGAAGATAGATAGATTAAATAGAGAGATAGACAGATAGATAGATTACATAAATATATTAGACATATGGAGAAGATAATCAGATAAACAGATAATCAAATAAATAGAGATAGATAGACAGGTGCGTGTAGGCGGAGAGGAAGAAAAATATCAGTTTCTGAACCCGATAAATTTACGATAATTGCTGACCTCGCGTTTGTCACTCAAATTGCCTCAAAAAAAAAAAAAAAAAAAAAAAAAAAAAAAAAAAAAAAAAAAAAAAAATAAAAAAAAAAACTGACAGGACCAAAATTCCACGGCACATTTACGCGCATATTTTTTTTTTTTTTTTTTTTACCTTCCAAAAATACATAAGAATCCATGACTATTCAAGAACCTACAAAAAAAAAAAAAAAAAAAAAAAAAATCCTGTGACTCTGCAAGTACTTAAAAGAAAAAAAAAATATTCATGAACTTCCAAAAATAAAAAAAAAAAAAAAATCCATTGCTATTCAAATTAATAAATTAAAGAAAATGAATAATAACAATAATAATAACAATAACAATAATAATCATAATAATCAATAATAATAATAACAATAATAATAATAACACAACAACAACAACAAAACAATAATCATAATCATAAATAAATAAATCATAAAATAATAAAAAACCCGTGACTCGCAATAACACTGATACCAAGCCCGGTGTGTTGCCAAACGGCCGCGGAACTCTGATATCAAGTCGATACGATAAGCGGTATCACAGGTGTTGGTTTTCCACGGGGTGTTCTTGGCCTTGGTCTCTCCCCGGGTTTGTTTGTGGAAGTTCTCTTTTTTCTTCTCTTCTTCCTTATTCGCATCTATTCATGTCCTCTGTCCCTCTCTCCTTCTCTGTCTCTCGTCTGTCTGGGTCTGTCTGTGTCTTCGTCTGCTCTCCTCTCTCTCTCTTCTCTCTCTCTCTTCTCTCTCTCTCTCTCTCTCTCCTCTCCTTCTCTCTCGTTCTCTCTCCTTTCCCCTCTCCTCATCCTCTCCCTCCCTTCCTTCCGTATCTCTTCCCCTTTCACTTTTCTCTCTTCCTTTCTTTCCCCTCTTCCCATTCCCTTCAATCTCCATCTCCCTTCTCTTCGTCCTCGTTCTCCCTCCCTTTTCCCATCCTCCTCCTCCTTCCATTCATTCTTCATCTCCTCCTCCCTCCCTTCTCCCACTCCCTCTCGTCTCTCCCTCTCCCTCTCTCCCTCTCTCCCTTCCTCTTCTCTCACCCCTTCCCCTCTCTCTCCCCCTCCCTCCTCTCCCTCTCCCTCCCCCCTCCCTCCTCTCCCTTCTCTCTCCCCCTTCCTCCTCTCCCCTTCCCTCCCTCTCCCTTCTCCCCTCTCTTCCCTGTTGTCCCAACCAATGCTTACATGACTGCGCATCTCCTCTCATTTCCTGTGCATGTTCCTCGCCCCCCACTCCCACCCCCGACCTCCCTCCGTCCGCCCTCTGTCTTGTTCCTCATTATCCCCCCCCCCACCCCGCCCCCACTTCCATCCTCTCTCCCTCCCTATTTACCTTCCCCCACCCCCCCTGACGCTGGCCTCAACCCCACCGCCACGCCAGGTCCCTCTTTCTTTCTTTCTTTTTTTCTTCTTTCTTTCTTTCTTTCTCTTTCTCTCCTCTCTCTCTTCTTTCTCTCTTTTCTTTCGTCTTTCTCTCCTCTCCTCTTCTCTTCTTCCTTCACTTTATCACCGAATGTTTTCTAATCCTCAGTTAATTCTCATCCCATTTTATCCTCTCTCCCACCCATCCCTCGCCTTCCGTCACCTTTAACCTCCCTTCCCCTCCTCCTCCTCCTTTCCCCCTCCCCCTCCTCCTTCTCCTCCTTCT